ATTGTTATGTGCTGTTGAGTCACTTGTGTCTCTTAGTAACCGTATGTACCATAGGCCTGAAACCTGCTCTATCCTGTGCCAACTTTACTGTCTCTGACACACCTACCCTCATTACCTCAGTCACTGAATCAGTCTGACCCATCGATGGTCTTCCTCTCTCTCTTCTTACACTCTCCCAAACATGACGTCCTTCTCCAAGGACTTGTCCCTCCTTGCAACATGCCTAAAGTATGTCAGACAAAGCCTCAGAATCCTTTCTTGCCTGGCTTTACCCTCTCTGGGATGAACCTATTTGTTCTATGCAACACTCTTCTCCAGCACCACAGCTCAAAGGCAACAATTTTTCTATCATCCCTAGTCATTGTTCAGCTTTCTGATGCATAGCAAGTAATTGCAAAGACTATGGCCTGGATCAAGTGCACCTTAGTCTCCAGACTGACATTGTTGTTCTTCAGTACTTTGGATCAGTTTCTTACAGCAGACTTTCCCAATGCAATTAGTTTTTTTAATTTCCTGGCTGCTGGTATCAAGAGTGTTGATTTTAGAACCAAGCAAACTGAAGCTGTTGACAATCAGTCTCTTCACTATCCATCATGATGTTGCCGATTGGCACACTAGTGAGAATGTTTTTTTTCCTCTTGATGTTGAGCTTCAATCCACATTGAAGGCTTCAGCAAGCACTTCAGGTCCTCCTTGGTTTCAGCAAGGAGGGTTTTCACATAAGTACAATTGTATTTGGTCATGTTAAGATCTAGCAGAACTGCCCCATAAGGTTTCTAGATTGTAATCATGGTGGATTGCATGTTGGGCAATTAACAGAAAGGTCAGGGCTCAACTCCACCAGCGATTTTGTGGGAGAAAGAGAAGGAATTCTTGTTATATGCCATCAAATTGTTGTCAGAGCCTCTAAATCGCATGGGAGGTGATTGCTCATCTTTCTCCTGCACAGCAGCTGGTAGATTTGAACCACCTGTCTTTGGATTGGCAGCACAATTCTTTTCTCTACCCACTGAAGCTTCCTATTGTGACTTAAAGCCTTGGAAGGTTGCCAGGAATAGAAATCAACTTCACAGTAATGACTTTTTTGTTTACTCTTTACAGAAACAGATCTGCAGGTCTCTATCTTACCGGACCAATGGGTACTCTTGAAATACCAACTTTTTAATTAGCACTGAGCATGAAGTCATTGTGCCACCAGTGACTAATAAAGTTACCACATGAAAAATAGAGTTTTGTTTCTTGATTAATGGGAAATCCAGACTCATCTGTCAGACCTACCTCTATAGGAGGAACAGCCTGTTTAGGGTATTTACTACTTAATTATGATGATTTCTGTAACTGTCCACAATTACCTACTGCCCACATGTATGCGTGCACCTGTGTGTGTGTGCACACATATGTCCACCCACCAGCAGTTCATACTGTTTTCTCCAGCTTCCAGAAGTGTTTGTGCTCATTCAGAAGCTAGATGTTTTAGTAGTTCCAGCAGGACTCTGGAGTCAGACTGCCTGCATTCAAACCTGGCTGTGCCAGTTACCTATCTGGGTGACTTGAAGTGAGTCACTTACCCACTTTGCATCTTTGCTTCTCATCCATTAAATGGAGGTCATAACAATGTCTACATCACAGAGTGGTTGTGGATGATTGAAAGAGTTTGGAACGCTGTGTGGCTTGTGAAATGTACAATCTAGGTTTTTGCTACTACTTTTGCTTCCTAGGGCCGGTTTGTTTTGCCCAGGGATTTTGTCTTTCTCTTCTCTCTTACTCTTCATCAGCCTGACTTTCATTTGTCCTTCAAGATTCCATTCAGTGGTAGCTCCTCTGCTTGGTATGGGCCTGTAGGCCAGGCTAGGTTCTGTGTACATTTCCAGCTAACTGGTTGTGACTTCTTTCACGGCCACTGTAACATGTTTTACTGCTCTGGGATTACTTGTCTACATTGACTGTGAATGTGACTCTCTTAATTTTTTGGTACTTGATGAGCAGGGTGGAGATACTCTGTATGAAATACGTGATGGAAAATTGTACCAGATTTTCTTCTTCCTCCTTTCCTCCTATCTTCCTTCATATTTCCCTTCTACACTTCTTTCCCTGCTCCTTAATTTCTTTTTTTCTTCTAAATTCTTCCCTCCACTCCAGCCCTTCCCTTTCATCCCGGATATGCCTTGGGTTATTCCTCAAGGAAATTCTATAAGATAGACATTATGATCATTCCTGCTTTGCATATGTGGGAACAGAGGTTCAGGGTGCTGGACAACTTTCCCATCCAAGACAGCAGCCCTTTTATAGCGTTGTCTTTTCCATGGGTATTGCTACTGCATAAGTGGTTTGGCAGTTTCTCTTTGAAACTCTCTTCTTGGCCAGATCTCAAACCACATGAAAAATCTCATTCTTGGTCATTTTCAGAAAAGATAATTTCCAATCTGATCATGCTGATTCCACATGCCTGTTTCCAAAAAAAGCTCCATCTTCTTAGAAATCTGAGTTACTTTTAAAGGACAAAGATTTGCCAGTGTGAAGGTTTATGCAACGCAGAGCCAGTTGCCAGAGCATCCACTTGAGAGCCTTGGGAGCAGCCCTAGCACAAGACTGAACGCTGCAGGTCCTCCTGTGGATTAGTGTCTGGTGGCCCCGTGGTCAGCAGCTGGAGGAAGAATTTCACATCACCTTGTAGTCTTACCTTCTTTACTGGTAACGGCTTTATTGAGATATAATTTATATACCATACAGTGCATGTACTGAATGTGCCAATCACATTGGTTTTTAGTATATGCACAAAGTTATACAACCATCACCTCTAATTCCATAGCATCTTCATCGCCTTTAAAAGAAACCTGCTTCTCTTTCATAGTCAGTTCTCATTCACATCCTCCCCTACTTGTGACAACCATTAATGTGTTTCTGTCTCTATTGATTTGCCTATTCTGGACACTTTATATTAAGGGAATTATACAATGCAGGGTCTTTTGTGACTGCTTTCACTCAGCATTTATTTCAGGGTTTATCTATGTCATAGTCTGTATCTAGACTGTCATCATTCCTCCATCAGACCTGTATGATTTCCAGCTTTTTTGTGGATGATGAAGACTTTTTGGATGGCTGTGCCACATTTTGTTTGTCCATTTGTTAGCTGGTGGATATTTCCAAATGAGATGTCGCCAAAGAAGATACACAGCTGGCCAATAAGCACATGAAAAGATATTTAACATAATTAGTCATCAAGGAAATGCAAATCAAAACCACAGTGAGAAAGCACTCCACATCCTTGAGGCTGGCTGTAATTGCAAAGACAAATATGACAAGTGTTAGCATGGTTGAGGAGAAATCAATTGGAGCTGGTGGGAATGTAAAATGATGCTTTGTGGTTTGTTCCTAAACTGCTTTTGAAAACAGTCTGCCAATTCCTCAAAAGATAAAACATGGAGCTGCCATATAACCCAACAATTCTACTTTGAGTTTTATATCTAAAATAAATAAACACATGTCCACAAAAAAGCTTGCACAGGAATGCTCACACAGCATCTTTATCATAGTACAAAACGTACCAATATTTTATAGTCTACGTGATTTAGTACATCCAAGTTGTTCACTCTGCATTCAGCACTGGAGGAGACAGCATGGCACGTGGATGAGAGAACATCTGTTCTCTCTATTCTAGAGATTTCTTTCTGGACTTTTCTGGATGGGAGGATGAAGTACAAACACATGGAGAGTATTATCAAGATGATAATTATTCAGTAATTGTTTGTGGGTGCAGGTCACACTTAGAAAGATCTCAATGCCTCAAGGCGTCATCCATAGCAACTCAGAAAGATTTCACAAAGCCCTGTAAAGCTGTGGGTTCCCTGCGATTGGGGCCCTGCCTCTTCTCCATGTCTGTTTTAATGTTGAGTACCATGGCTGATCCACGGGCCAAACAGATTCCTACACAGCCTTTATGTTTAGTGCATGAATGAGTAACTGCTGGGTTGGAAGCCACTTCTGCAGTAAATGTCATTTTTCCCTCCCTGGAGAAACAGCCAAGACTTGCATTTACCGGGTCAGTGAGATTTAGGAAAACAAAAAAGTGGAGTAAACCTCACAGTAGATTTTGTTTTGTTTACGTGTATCAGACATCAACATTGTAGTCTGTGTAGCTTATGAGTCTTTGCTGTAATAAGGAATTGTTTTTCTTTTTTTTTTATTTTCTGTGAAGGTACTTTATGTTGATTAAGTTTGTTCAGTTAAATATCCTTTGCTTGCACTGGACTTTTCTTTGTGTTGATTTTTTGCTTCTTCTTCTTTTTTCTTCTTCCTTTTTTTTCCTTTCCCATTTCCCATGCTGTTCAGTTGCTGGATGCCAGAAGAACCAAGGTTTGTCTTCTCTTGCAGTTGGTTGGTTTTGCTCTGCACACCCTCACCTCCTCCTGTGTTTGCGTGTGTCCATCGTGTCTGCCTTTGCTCCCTTTCGCTTGCAGATGCAGTAATCCTGTTTACTAAACCTGTTCCTAGCTTTATTTGTTAAAAAGCAGGAAAAAAATGTCCTCCTTTGTGTCTGCTTGTAGTGGATGCGATTCCTTTTTATTTTTAAATGGACATGCATTTATCACAGAAAATAATGGATGGTCGAACCAAGAACACCTTAGGAAACAAGGAATGCTGAGTCTGGAGCGTTGTGGGTGTAATGAAGGCGTGCTTGAGAAAGTTTCCCTCTAACCCTCTCACCTTCCTAAATGAAAACTCTGTAGATGTATAGTTTCCCTCGTGACTGACACTAATCTACTGTTCCTGTGTATGTGTGCATTTCTCTTAAGACATTTGGAAAGCATCATTGAATTAATTTCCCTTTCTCCATGTGCTGTTCCATGCTTCGGAGGCCACCGTGGAGGAATTCATGGCTGGCGCTCTGGACCTCATGATTAACATTCCATCTTCATGATGTGGTAGCTGCGAAACATTCGGCCCTGGGATTGACTTTATTTCCCTCTGTCTCCTCTCCTGCTTCCTTTTTCTTATTGCAGCACCTGCAGCTGACAATCCAGGCCCTCCAGGATGAGCTGCGAACCCAGAGGGACCTCAACCACCTCCTGCAGCAAGAGAGTGGCAACCGCGGGGCCGAGCACTTCACCATCGAGCTGACGGAGGAGAACTTCCGCCGGCTCCAAGCCGAGCATGACAGACAGGCCAAGGAGCTGTTCCTTCTGAGGAAGACACTGGAGGAAATGGAGCTGAGGATTGAGACGCAGAAACAGACCCTCAATGCCCGAGATGAATCCATTAAAAAGCTGCTGGAGATGTTGCAGAGTAAAGGCTTGCCCTCCAAGAGCCTCGAGGATGACAATGAACGCACGCGGCGGATGGCGGAGGCCGAGTCTCAAGTCAGCCACTTAGAAGTGATTTTGGATCAGAAGGAGAAGGAAAACATCCATCTCAGAGAGGTAAGCACATATAGGCTGGTTCCCAGAGCTATTTATTTACAAGTGTTAAAATACTTTATCAAATAATTTTTACAGGTTGGGTGAGATCTACATCCTTAGAGAAATTCCCTTTATTGCCTGCACATCACCTTTAAACGGGAATCTTTGCATTTCCTCTCATCTCCTCACCACGCATTTGTTTCATTATTATTCAGCATGTGTTGAGGAGCCAAGTGAGTGTAGCACATGTCCGCTCAAAGGTAGTTTACAGTTGCTTTCCCACAAGTGGAAGTGGTCCCAGGACCTCTTAAGTAAGATGCCGTTTAAATTCTAGCTGCTTCTCAACTACCGTCATACAAAGGAACAAAACCGTGGGCCCAAATAACTATAGAGCTGAGTTGAGGGGCAGGGTTTGCAGAAAGTAGAGCATATGAAATACCTGTGAAAGCTAAGGTAAGTGTGCAGAAGAGAAAGAAGAAAATGGTGTTGTAATTGGAATGTTTTTGTTTCATGTAATCTGTATCTATGTAGAATGAAGCATCTTATATTTTCAAAGTAAAGCGTTTTTTCCATACTTACTAGGTTAAATCATTTGAACTTGCGGTAAGTCCTTTAGAGGTCGCCTCTACAGACTGGCTACCCCCATTATGTTGGGATGCCCGGATATCTGAGAATATGTGATTGGACAGAGCTTTAAAAATGTGGGTAATGGCCAAGGTTTGAAATTTTTAACTGCAGTCCCTTGCCACTGTAGTGGTTATGGCTCTCAAAAGTACCACACAGGCAAAACTGTCGTGGGAAACACAGATCTTACAGAAAATGGTAAGCAATAAAAGGACATTAGCTGTAGTTTCAAAACATTCTATAGCAATAAATAGAAATTCCAAAAGATACTTGCTTCTAGACCAAACTCGGTTTCTTGGCATTGAATGCCTATGCATACAGCAGCCCTTCTTTTGGGTAATTCGTTTTAAAAACATGGCTTCCACGTTGGCACTTGCTGATGCTGGTTTTCTCGAGAATTTTCAGCACTAAAGTTGTATTTGCTTAGAGCATTTAAACAACTTTTAGTGTCTTCAGATTTTGATGTCCTTCTCACTTCTTTTCCCCGTTTTATTTACCTGAGATGTTGGCAACATGGTTGGGAAACCACCTAGCTTGGTTTTATATTGCAATACTTAAATATTTTGCTGGGCCCAGTCTTTCTCTCCAAATCCCACGAGGGTGAATTCTGTAGGCATTCTTCTAAGATGGCCCGCAGTGATGCCAGCTTCCTGGTATCCACACCCTTGTGTAATCTCCTCCCCTTGAGTGTAGTGTTAACCCTTTGACTTGCTCGTAGAACACAGCAAAGGTGACAGGATGCCAATTCCCTGATTAGATTGCGGAAGATTTTGATGTCTGTTATGATAGCCATCTCTGTTACCTTCTCAGCTTGCATGGTTTGATGAAGGAAGCTGTCCTGTGCAAAAGGCTCATGTAACAAGGAGCCAAGGGCCATCTCCCAACTACAGTTGTTGAGGAACTGAGTGAGGCCTTTGGGCTCGCTTTCCACAAACAACTGAATACTGATAGCAAGAACTTAGCGAGCTCAACAGTGGGTCCTTCCCCAGTTGAGTCTTCAGATGAGATGGCTGCCCCTAAGCTGATATTCTGGTTGTAGCTTCTAAGAGATTGTGAAGCAGAGGTTTTGATTAAGCTGATCAACAGAATCTGTCAGATAATAAACTGCCATTGTTTTAGACTTTGTTTTGGAATTCTTTGTACATGGCAAGAAATAACTGGTGCAGTGGAGCAGGAATCAATACACTTCCTGCCTTCTCTATTCTTTGGTCTATAGAAGATATGTAGAGATTGCTGTATATTGTCTGCATGTAGAGTATCTACCATTTTTGAAGATATGATTGTTTCAAAACTGTGGTTGATAAAACCCACAAACCAGTCTGCTGACTCTGAGAAGAATGGGAATCCCAGAACACTTGATTGTTCTAATGCAAAACCTATACTTGGACCAAGAGGCAGTCATCAGAACAGAGCAAGGCAACACTGCGTGGTTCAAAATTGGGAAAGGCTTACGCCAGGGATGTGTCCTGTCTCCATACCTTTTCAACCTGTGTGCAGAACAGATTATCCGAGAGGCTGGGCTCTATGAGAAGAAGTGTGGCGTCAGGATTGGTGGAAGATCTAGTAACAATCTACGTTATGCAGATGATACAACCCTGCTTGCTGAAACTGAGGAGGACCTGAAATGCTTGCTGCAGAGGGTCAAGGACTGCAGCCTTTAGTGTGGATTGAAGCTCAATGTCAAGAAGACAATGATTCTCACCATTGGACCAATTGGTAGCATCAGGATGGATGGTGAAGAGATTGAGATTGTTAACAACTTCAGTCTGCTTGGCTCCACGCTCAACACTCTTGGCACCAGTAGCCAGGAAATAAAAAAACGTATTGCGATGGGAAAGTCTGGTGTTAGGGACCTCTCCAGGGTACTGAAGAGCAATGGTATCACTCTGGAGACTAAGGTGTGTCTGATACAGGCTATGGTCTTTTCAGTCACTTGTTATACATCAGAGAGTTGGACTAAGGAGGATAGAAGAAGAATTGATGCCTTTGAGCTGTGGTGCTGGAGAAGAGTATTGAATGTACCTTGGACTGCCAAGAAAACAAACAGATTCATCCTAGAGAGGGTTAAACCAGGCTGCTCCTTGGAGGCAAGGATTCTGAGGCTTCGTCTGACATACTTTGGCCATGTTGTAAGGAGGGAGAGGTCCTTGGAGAGGGACATCATGCTTGAGAGGGTGGAGGGATGGTGCAGAAGGGGAAAACCCTCTATGAGATGGATTGATTCAGTGACTGGGGTATTCGGGATGAGTGTGTCAGAGGCAGTGTGATTGGCACAGGATAGAGCGGGGTTTAGGGCTATTGTACATAGGGTTGCTAGGAGTCACTAGCGACTTGACGGCACATAACAACAACAACAGGAGCATTAAGAAGATTACCTGATGCCACTCAAAATGCAAGTGGTGAAGCTGGGAATTGAATTAGGCTGACTCCAGAGTCTTTAACAAACAGAAAGTCTTCTTCCAATTGTACTCCATAGAATAACCATTCTAGAAATGTTGGTGTTCCTATGCTGGGTGTTGAGTTGATTCTAACTTATATTGACCCTACCAGAAAGAGTGGAACTGCCTCACGGGGTTTCTAAGGCTCTAGTCCTTATGGGAGTAGACAGTCAGCTCCTTTTCTCCCAGGAAGTGGCTGGGGAGTTTGAACTTTCAACCTTTTGATTAGAAACTGAGCTCTTAACCTCTACCCCACCAGGACCCCTTTTAATCTATAATGAGAGGAAAAGGCCTTTAGGGCCAAGAAAATAGAGAAAATGCTGAATTCCACAGAACTCACTGCAGGACCTTTGGACTTTATAAATGTGTGCTTTTTTTTATCACTAGGAAGAAGACTAGGTAAGCAGAACTTCTCAGACTTATTAGACTTGGTTTTCTCTGGAGGCACTGATGTTCTTTGTTACACACTCTGGAAAAATGCTATTCAAGGAAATGAAATTTGTGCTTTTAATTTGTGACCTATAAAATATGTAATAATATATAAATAGTTGTTTCCCATAGCCAAATAACTCGGTAATTTCTTTCATTAGTTATTCTGTGAGGCAGAGTTTACTGTAAACTGTTTCCATATTCTCTGCTGAGTTTTAGAATGTTCTTCTGTCAGGATCTTTTTTCTTTTTTTTCCAGTGGAAAAATCTGGCTTTCTGTTTTTTGGTATTAAACTGGTAAGAATAACGGAGCTTGAATAAAGCAGTTGCCTGACCTCTGTTAATTTAAATGAATTCCAACAGCAGGATTTAAAATGTACTTGAGGTTTGAAGTTTAGCGTCTTGCTGATTTCTTTTCCCTCATACAGTTTGACCACGTTGGGGTAGGTGCTGTAATGTGGAAATAGAGTGTTGCTGATTTTACGATTCTTTTACAGGCAGAGGTGTTGGACCTCACAGAAACCCCACCTTTGGAAAGTCTGGCCATGTTTAGCCCATTGTTTCAGAAGATTTGAAGTTGGCTGAAGTTTCATGTGGTTGGGTTGGTTGAATCACTGTATTGTCTTGCTATCTTGCTTTCAGTGGTCTGGGAGAGGCTGGGGGTGAAGCCACTTCTTTGTCTGGTTGGAAATGTAACACAGAAGGGTTATGATCTCGACTTCTTGCCAAGGCTGTAGCTGATGTGCAAATGTGGATCCAAGGATTGGCTGAAAGTCAGCATTACTCACTAGGGTTGTCTGATGCATTTGGATACAGGTTGATTTGATACGACATTGCTTAATGTGGTAAGAGTTTACCTTGTTCTCTGGCTTTTCCTGCAGAGAACATATTGTTTCGTGAAAAGGTTTTAACAAATCACAATACTGCTGATGTCATTAAGGAAAAATGGATCTGTATGGTGCCCAACTTTCCATCTTATTTTTGTTGGCTAGTCTTGTAGAAGACAATTCTTTGCACTCATTGACTGTAGGCCCTTAAAGGGAAGGGATGTGCATACTGCTTTGATTCCTTTCAACCTGCTTCTCCCTCCGGGCAGAGTGGCTTTCTTTGGCTGCAGGGGCAACCAAGCTTTTTCATAATTAGGTACCATAATAGCTATTAACCAAACGAAATAACCAGGACATTGGGTTTGTGCTTTCCCTCTGCTGTGGGCTGGAAGGGAAAAGGGTTAGAGGATAGTCATCCTTGGTCTCCAGCTTAGTGACCCACTTTGCCCCAGGCCAGCCAGTGGGAGATCTACCAAGTGAAAGAATATGACCTCCAAGTTCTTGACACCGTTTTCTGACAGCTCCAATCTCCTACATATAATCTCCATCCAAACTTGTCAACTCCACCCTGGCCCCCTTCTCTCCAAACCATATGGCTTCTTTCTATCTAGCACACGCTGGTTTCCGAGTATACTGACAGAGCCAAGCTATAATTTTGCTGATACTGACATTTTTCGTTCTGACTCTCCAGATCCAATACATTC